TCCCTCCTACAGCGCGCCTATGACATGGATCCGTTTCTTTTCTTTGTTTTCGTTTTTTTTAGTGTTTTTATATTTCTTTTTCTTACAATTCTTCGGTGACATCCCGTAGTTGGCGGGCCCCGGCCAAGAAGCAACGACCGGGCCTTCCCTTGGCCGACCTCCGCAGGCCCCGGCGTGTTAACGGGGAAGGCCCGCGGCCAATAGCTGGGCCAAGTACTGGTGGTTTAAGGTGTTTGCCTGACAAGCCGTTGGTTGTGAGTTTGATTCTCGGATTGGACATATGCATGCCCACATCAACACGCACAGCATGCAAGGCAAAAATAGGACAACCGAACTGATGCTCCACAGAATCGAATAGAATAAAGACTACGGGGGCAAAAAAAAAGAGAAAGAGAGAGAGGGAGAGAAAGAGATGACATCAAGACCCATCTCTAGCTCCTGCAGTGTTATCGAAATCGAAGCAGAGGGAAGAGACAAACAAGAGATAGGCAAGGAACATACCTCTCCAGCTCCTGCAGTATCATCCACATGGAACTCGAGGACGACATCGTTCTTTCCTTGCGGTTGTGTCTGCGAAATGTCATCAGCAATGGAGACCTCGAAGGCTAGTTGGTTGTTTACCTTAAATGCAAGCATGTTTCCTAGCAGTGGTTCAAAAACAGCGAACAGAACGCCAGTCAGTATGATCAATACCACAAAACGAACTACGTTAAATAAATAATAATGAATTTTTATTAATTTTAATTAACTTTAATTAATTTTAATGAATTTTAATTAATTTTAATATTTTAATCATAATAATCCCTGATTCAAACAGACAACCTACTGAAATCTCTCTCACAGACAGAATTTAACATCAAACCATGCCAAACAAAAATCATATTTATTTCTCTCTCTTGTTTGCAAATGTCAGAAGACTCAGAAAACAATTCCAGCATAAAAAGGAAATTTCAAATTTGTCACCTAAATTGCATCTCCATCAAACTGAATCGATTTGATGCATTTTTTACTCCTGAAGCTGGGAACCAAGCGATTCATAGAATATATAAATAATCTAATGTAATATAATAAACAATAAAATAAAATAAAATAAAATACATAAACGTAATGAACCCGACCCGAGAACCTCGCACCATCATCAACATGCGTAAACTCTCAAATTCGAATGAACATGGCAACTCAGCTCAAGGTCGTAGAGCTTAAAATCAACCAGTACTTTCGCGTTTCGCTTTTCTCCAGGGCAGGAAACGCGCTGCGTGCCAAAAAAATAAAGGAACCAGCGAACGACTCCTTTTGGCTGCTGCCACCAGCCTTCTATGCTCCTGCGACGGCCAAGCCCCGAAAGTTGCAGCAGCATGCAAGCTGCAACTTTGAAAACATAACCGGCGGGAAACGTACTGCTGGTTTTTGTTTGAAAACAAAAAATAAAAAACAAGGGAAGGATAGCAAGAGTCAGTCGACTAGACAAAAAGAAAAAGTAGAGTACGACAGGGAGAATAATTAAGAACGTGATCAATAAATAATAAATCCAACAATACGACGAATACGTCTCTTTTCCCTCTTCTAACTTCTGGGCTCTCCATGTCCATGTCCTCACCTGCCAGCTTCCAGTGTAATCAACCTATCTTCTACTACTGGTAATGCAACCTCCGACGACGACGACGACAACACTCTGCCCAGTTGGTCCAGGCACGAACGCACGATCCAAGTTGGTTCCAATTTGGCACCCGTCTGGCAAGACCAGCACAACTGGTATGAACCAGAGGTTGCAATGCAAGCCTTCTGAAGCGGAGTCCTCCTCTTCAATTGCAATGAGCAGCAGGTAGGGATGACGTAAGCTTCTCTTTTCTCTCTCGTCCCAGGTAATGGCACCTCCTGCAAAACCCCCATTCTCTCTCTCCCTCTCTCCCTCTCTCTCTCTCTCTCTCTGAGTGTGTGTGTGTGTGTGTGCACGCTGGCACTTGTCTTCAGACCAGCAGTCCAACAAATGTGTCCAGCAGCAAATGCCACGACTACGACTGAGGGAGGCAGGCAGCTCTGTTTCATTTACCCACCTGAACAGCCTCGTCTTCCCAGGAACAAAAGGCTGAGATTGTCCGAGCGACTGAGATTTGGCCGCGATCTGGGGTTGCCTGGACGCAGTAGGCCCTGGATGGATCTGGAAACAATTTCTGGGCGTTTGAATTTATGTGTGATCAGCGGTTGTCGTTGACTTCTGGAGAAATCTTTGGCTCTTGGATTGCTGGACCCGGCAGAGACTCACTGTTGACTTCCCCTCCGCCTGGATTTACTTTCCAGGGGGGTTGAGCGCTCCACATCGTTTCAAGAGACACTGCAAGAAAGTGGGTGTGTATGTGCATGTGTGCATGTGAGCACGTGCGCATGTGAGCACGTGCGCACGTGCATGTATGTGTGTATGAGACACTGCAAGAAAGTGGGTGTGCATGTGCATGTGTGCATGTGAGCACGTGCGCATGTGTGTGCGTGCGCACGTGCGTGCATCTGTGAGTGTGTACGTGCATGTATGTGCATGTGTCGTGTTATGATCATACTGTTTGCTGTGGCTAGCTGCAACAAACGTGGAATGTCAAATCATTCAAGACCCACACAGTTATAATACCAGTGTAGTTTCCCAAAAGGAGACCAAACCAACTATGAAAGACTTCTTACAAACACACACACACACACACACACACACACACACACACACACACACACACACACACACGCACACACACACACCACACCCACCCACACCACACCACACACACACACACACACACAGTTGTCAATGACTGCTTCCCATTCCCTTTTCCATGTGCCACTCCTTCTGCCGTTTCTCTCTCTCCCCTTCCTTCTTTTCTTCATTCCTTTTGTCATTTGCTTCTTTCTTCCAATCAGCTGGCTTGCTATCCATGACAAAAAAGAACCATAAACAGCACTGTACAATACAGAATCCATGCAACTACACCCCAAATCCTCGTCTCGCTCTCATTAAACATAGCACACACACTGTTTATTTCGTAAACTTCCGTTGTTTCTCATTGTAAGCAAGTGATTATAATAACAAATCCACAAACGAACCTTCAATTTCCACATCTCCCCAATTTCGGCCACTTGTGGCCATATGTCTCTCCTCGACCTGAATCCCGAAATGGTTTGAAAAGTAGCCCGACAGGCTTGTGACGTCCTGCACAAGTCGCACACGCCATCACGCTAATCTCATATCGATTCCAAAAGCCACAGACTGATTCACAAATCAGACTGACATATGGCATGATACATCATCCATCATAAATATTAACTGATAACCATTCCATTACCCCTTCACTTTCTTGGGGGCAGCTCTCTCTCTCTCTCTCTCTCTCTCTCTCTCTCTCTCTCTCTCTCTCTCTCTCTCTCTCTCTCTCTCTCTCTCTCTCTCTCTC